TATATATATATATATATATAATATGTAGATAAATAATATATTTGACTTCTTAACTGTAAAAATGTTTAACGTAAAACAATATCTTTCATTTAAAATAGAAATTTCGAGAACTGAAGTGAATCATTAATCTAAGACAGGATGACTTTCTTGAAATTTTTCTAAGTTATTATCTGTTTATACATTAGTACAATATTAGTTTTGTATATATATTTTAAAATATAACGTATCGGTTTTACATTCGATTTCATAATGTGGTTTTCCGAAAAAATATAATACAGTCTACATATGCAAACACAATTTATTATTATTAATATTAATTAACTATACTGTTGTATTAATTTGCAATTCTTTATATGGAATAGTCTTCAATTAAAGCGTATTACAGAAAATTACAACAATAAAAGAGTACATTAGTTTGAAAAGTTTTCGACCTTGCACATTTAAACAAAACAAAGAAACTAATGAACGCATCTATTTAAAACTTTAGTAGATCTGGGATAAAACAAAAAGGAACAAACTTGAAAATAGTTTGATATTTATGGTGTCATTTTTCGTATCAAATCATGAATTTTTTAAACTACTTCTTGAATTGCAGCAACATTTTCAACGTGTTAACAATTTTGCAATAACTTAGCAACATTGTAACAATGCTGCTACTGAATACTGTGATCAAACAGCTAAAGCAATTTGATAATAAATAAATCAATAACTATGAATTTTAAATTATAAAACTTACCTTGTATATTTGTTCAAAAGAATAAATATTCTCAAGAATTAATTTTATCATTGCAAGTGTAGTAAGTAATCTATATAAACAAAATAACATATTCATAATTAATATATTCTCTCTCTTATGATTAAATATAGTAAACATTTACGAAAATATTATTACCTAGGTTTTATAATCTTAAAATTTTTTAATACGTAATCAAGGATTATAAAGTTTCGTACATGCTGTTCAAGAATATATTTAAAGACATGAGAATGCTTATTATTGTTAAATAGTGAAGTATTTAGTGCTAATATGTTTAAATAGTTGATGATGATATCAGGATCTTTAGCACAACCCAAACCTTTCAATAATTCTCTATCTTGGTGTTTTAGTTCTCCTTTTACATATAATTCGAACATTTTATCCCAAGTAGTTTTATTGGCTGTCATCATACCGGTACAGTACACATATTTTTCCCACCGTGAAATTCTAAAATATGTAATTATTAAGAAAGAGTACATATATTTCATACAATAGCCGACTTTCCATTTTATCAAATTTTATATTTTTACATTTTATTGTAAAAATATCTATTCTGCTCTAGTGTCTTACACTTGTTATATTATCATATGACATTGGGAGTACAAATTACAGAGTACAATTACTGTTCGGTCCGTTTTCCAAAAACTGATCGCCTCCAAAGACCAGTCATTTTTTCGATATGGAATTCGAAAATTGCCTGAGAGATGGGAAAAAGTAGTAGCCAGCGATTGGCAATACTTTAATTAATCTGTTCATTCATTTTGATTTGTAATAAATGCATTTTTTAACACAAAAAACGGACCGAACTGATTTGTACATCTAATAATATAACAATGAAATAACAAAATGAAGGAAGATATACCGATAACGCAGCTTGTCATTTCATTGTACTTATATTTTTACTTTTACATAATGGAACATTTATTCTATTACTACGTTCATTATTGAATAAAAGTAAGGACTGAGATTATAAAGAAAAATGTCTGATCTCGACGATTTGAAGAAATAGAATGTCGACTGTAATTGTATCGATATGCTGGCGTATGCACGCACATACAAATACAATTTACGAGATTATAAGTGAGAAAAATTTACGTGTAGGTTTTGGGATTCGCGAGATGTCTACTTAATTTATGTGCGGTCATTTTTATGCATTCCTCATTATCAACAACACATGCCCATTTTAATGCGTTTATCCTTATCAATTTTGTAACATCGTTATCATTAGGATCTTCTATGTATTTTACCTTCTGAAGAAGCTTATGGAGGAGTCGTTGAATGTGTATCTAGAAATAATAAAATAATAATGCGTTTTAAATCTGAAAAAATTCGACGCGCAGTTAAAAATCTACATATGTAGAATATAAAATCACACACGATTATAGAAGCATCCAAGACCGGCTTGACCGTTATGGTTTGTGTTTCTCATTGGTATTAATTCTTATGGTCTTATAAGATTTAATATTGTACAACTATAATAAGGTCCTACCTTGAAATGTCTCATTTCCGGCAGTAGAAGTGTCTTCGGTATATATTCTATAACTTCGAACAATGATTGCCATGCCACATAATCTCTTTCCTTCGATAAGTAGTTTATTAGTTGAAGGAACAATAAGTCACTTATTCGATGATCAAATATTAATATGAACGAATCAATGACAATCTGAGCACGATTAAGGACGTGTATGTTTTCATATTCCTTACTATTTAAGTAATGTGCAATTTTTTGCCAATTTTTGTTATCGTAACTAACACGATAGTATCCTGTTGCATTATTCATTATATGTATTATTAAATATATTTATTAAATTCGAATTTATCAAGATATATTTTTATATATAAATATATATATTTTACCATTTCTTAATGTAACATACGAATGTAACATATTGTATATTACAATGAAAAATATAGAAATTACGGATTATAAATTACTTTACATTAATTAATATTTAACAATAAAAATTTTGGAAAATTAAATATAAATCCCTTTTAAGGTTTTAGAAATACAAAATACATACAAAAATACATAAAATGATAAATGTTCAGAAGAATGCTCTTCCGGAAAAACCTCGTATTTTCAATAATAAAAAAACTAGTTAAAAAAGATATATATACCATGTTTTCAAAAAGTTTTAAACATATATATATATATATACAATAATTATAAAACAAAATATAAAATAAGGAAGAAGATAGAACTCTTTTATTTGTCCTTACCAGTTAGTTGTAAATTGACAATAATCCAATCATTTGGATTAATTGTAAAACTTATATTATGTTGATCTGGTCTTAACCAATAAGAAGGTACAGTATTGGAGAAATCCGGATTGGACTGCGTAGCGAAAGTTATAGGAATCCACCATGTATTCGCACAACTAATCTCTTTAAATTGCCCTAAACATATTTTTGAAATCGTTACTTCGCCAGTTTCATAATTTTTCTCCACATGTACAAAAGGATAACTCTCTTGGTTTATCCAAGTATCCATCACTTCTTTTATTTTGTAATCTTCATGAGGAATATCAGATTGGTTTAGAGCACTTTGCATGGCGCTCCACAAATCGTCCGGAGTAACCGAGCGAAACTGACTACAAATTTGACAAACATGGAGTAATATGTATATTGATTATTAAAAGATATAGTTTAAGTAAATATTTAATGTCGTTGGACTCAAAGATACATGTAAAACTTATAAAACGTGAAAGGCTGAATTTATAATGAGTTTTTATCATATTAGCATATTATTCTTATGTAATTAACATTACGTATATTATATAGTTAACGTTATATATATATATAGTTACGTATACAGAACTTTACATAAATATATGCATATTTATCGATAAAAGCGCGTTCTAAATGCTGGCCAAAGCATACAGCCTATAATTAAATATAATATAGAACATCTATAAAGCCTATTGGCATATGCTCTATGTTTTATTATGAATATTATAACAGTTATTATAGTTATAATGTTGTAACATATTACAATATAAAAATACAAGGTTACATTAGAGAGTCACACTTACTGTCTGTCCAAATATATAATGAGACCATTTCGAAATACCTCTTCAGTAATGATATTTTGTAACATGCGTAACAAAACGGATGCTGTAATAATAGACATAAAATATTCATTAATATGTAATACATTTAAAGCAGCTAAATTTAAATTGCACGTACAAATTTAATATATGCTATTAGTATTGTGCTTTTTTATCTTTTTCTCACTTCTAGGAGAGTTGCCGAAATACCATTTAACCTATTTTTTATTACATTTTCTATTTGGCACTCTGTTTTGTACGTTAATAAATATTGGAAATTGTAGTTTAACGCTTAACATATATTATTATATTTTCATCACGAATGCATGTAATGTGCCCTATACCGCAACGCTTTTGCGTGCGGGAAATAGCCAATTCCTCTCAAGCCGTTGAATTACTTCTCTAATCCTACTCTTCTGCGCAAAAACGTTGCTGTATAGAGCACATTACAACGAGCACTTGTAATAAAAAATTCTATCTGTAGTGTGGGTTTGTCCGTCCCGCGCTATCGACAACTATCCCCCACTGTTACACAATGTACTATTATCTTTTCATCAATAACAAGACGTAGCCTATTATATTTTTGTCTATATTATTCATTTCTCATGCGCTTATATATACATATATTATTGTTACTACATGTTGCTTATATTAAGCAATAATACTAATAATAATAAAAATTGTTGAGATATGATTTAGGCGACCAATACGCATTCGGTGCGCGACTCTCCCCTACAACATTTAAAATCTATAAACTATAGCTTATAATTTCTTTTACATAATCCTACCTTTTTTATAAACATTGGAATTCAATGAGTCATCTTCAAAATTAATACCATATTTCAATATGACAAAATTTAAAAACTCTGTATCTTTTAAAAAAGATTGCTGTATTTCATGAATCATAAATATTTCCGTTATCCGCCAATTGAAAATCTGTAAAAGAAAGTACATCAATGTGATTAAATATTAAAATTTCCAAAAAAAGCTTGCATTTTATAAAAATAAAAAAATTATTGTTTATCTGCCGCTTTTACATTTCCTATTTTACATTTTATTACAACCATTGGCTTTTGTCTATGATTTTTTTTTAGTAGAGGGATGATCTTTAACCCCGTTATTATAACTTCTTTTTCCTGAAGAAAGTGTATGCAAAGTATAGTAATTTAAAAAAAATGTTATGAATGGAGTACTCATTAATTTATCGGAGCATTTTTTGTTCCTTGATCCAAAAATCTTGCGAAATTTTTTTTATGTATCAGATGCTCTATAAAAAGCTATAACGGAAATTCTAGAAATATTATATACATAATCATAAAAGAAAAAACATTATTTTATTACATAATAAAAAAATTGCTCAGAATAAAAAATAAAGTCGTTTCATAAAGAACGAAAAAATAAAATCTTTCGGGAGAAAGGTTTTGAATTAATTAAACTTCCGAATTCTCTGTGGATATGCTCATAATTAAACCAAAATTATACCTAACATATATTAACAATTTTATGACGAACTTTTATCAAGATTAAAATGCCTAAAAATTGATTATTTATAAAACTTTGCTAGAAAGTATATTTAATATGAAATATAAATAAAATATGAACAAAATACTTCGAATCTTATTATTTCATTAATAAATTCTAAACATAGATGCAGAGAATATATTCTCGAATTCTAATAAAAATTACAATATTCTTATGATTCCTAAACATAAAAATAATATTAAAATGTAAAAGAAAAATTAATTAGTAAATTTTCTATTGTATTAACATATTTTTATAATTTATTTCAAAACACGTTATACCCTTTTTCATAATTTTAAATTAGAGCACTCGTTAGTTCTATCTTGATAAATTTTTGGAAAGTGTAGTTTTAATAATATTTAATTGATATTATTATCTAATCTTATAGTAAAATTTACTTTAAAATGCTTTTTCCAATAAATAATCATGCATTATGTATGATAATATTCAATAACCTTGTTGATTATGTACATTTGGAAGAACGAAGCAAATCCTTCACTTAACCACATGTAGTTCCACCAACATGGAGTGACTAAGTTGCCAAACCATTGATGTGTAAGTTTATGCGCTATTAACAACGCTATTTCTGTTTTCTTAAATATTGGATCTTTGTCATCATCGTAAATAATATTTGATTCACTGAAATACAGAAAATAATAATATATAATTATGTAAAATATCACTGAATATGCAGTTTATTGTGTTAAACTAATTAATTACATTACAATTCATTATTTATAATTCTCTTGCGTAAATAACATAGATATTTATAATTTTTTTTGCGTGTGCATGTGCGTGGGTATAAATATATATTTCAGGAATGCGGAATATATAACGTTAGTAGTTAATTTTGTCATTTCTTTTTGTAAGAATGGGAAAGTCAGTTTTGAAAAGTAGCTTATTATTATTAAGCGTAATTTGGTAAAAAGAAAAATACGAATTCATTATTTGTAACGCGTCAATACTACTTTAATTCGTTACAAGTAATGAGTTATTTTCTTAAACAAATAATTTGCTTTAATAGTAAAGCGTAATAGTATCTAACAAGTTATTTCTTTCATAAGTATCTTCCCAAGTTTTAATTTTCAATTGGTTACCATTATCAAAAATTACAACGTTATTCGTTAAATCGATATTGTAAAAAGTAACGGTGCAGAAGTAATGGCGTTATGTACCACCCATCTCTATGCACGATATATAGAAATACGTTGTACAAAGTCGAAACCATAGATACATGTTTGGACAATCCAAACATTAATGCACATACTTTTTTGTTATCTCGAAATGCACAAGTATTTTAAATTATTAAATTTTTAATGCTAAAATTAACATATTGATTGGTTTTATATGTAATAATTTAATAAATTTTCTATAAACTGTATATTACTCGTAAGTGATGAGACCCCAATTTTCCATGCCACCAACTACAAAATTCGGTATCAAGACGTGATCCATTTTCGGTACCTTCTGGACACTAGTAGTATAATGACTCAAGAATTTTACAATCTCATCAGCAGCACTGTGTGCGAATTTTACTTTCGATATCAAAGTTATTGATCTACACCACATATTGATGGTTTCGTTTGCGTTAGGAACGCGAACAAATTCAGACATCGCAATCGCTACGATATAAGTGGACATTACAGGAGTGGTCTCGAAATGTGTCCATATCATATTTTCTTTTTCGTAGTGTTGTTTTAGTATTGGCATATTTGACAGTACACTGTATTTCTCATGATGTGTTACGGAGATGCTGAAAGTGGCTTTTATTGCTGGTTCGTCCCAACATGGAAACATTCGTCTGGCCCCATTCGGTTCGAAATGTGTTACAGCTAACCACCTGCTGTTTAATAAAGTATTTTAAATGATAACAAGTTTTCTATTTACGTCATTTAATATAAGAATTTAATAAATATTAATTACCGTTAACTGACTATTATTTATACGTAAAAAAATTTTAAGTAAGTAAACATAAATTAAAATACTGAATTAGAATTGTTAGTTATTTGAAATTAAAGTATTAAAATATGCATATATTTTAATTCGTATATGTATATTTTTTGGCAAAGTATAATTACAATATACATACATGTATTTATAATATATATGTATACATTTATATTTTAATTAGTTATATTTTGCCGAAAAAAATCTTTTGGTATGGAAACAATGATAGAAGCAAAAAAAGGTAAAAATGGATACTATGTATTGATATGTTGCAAATATATTTTCATGTTTAATATATACTTACGTATTTCCTTTAGGGGATAAATACCAAAATTTCATCAATCCCTGTTTTTGGGAAGACATTAATAGGTTACCGGCAAATTTCATATTCAAAATGTACAGACCAGGAGATAACACATCATTGAAACTCAGTATCAAAATGTCGGATGTAATGTTCTGAATATGTTTCATCGGTTTATAAACCGTACCATAGTCGTTAATCAATGTTGTAGCCGTTTCATTTATTTCTAATTCCCGCGAGTGTAAAGTTATATTTGACAATTCATAACGAATCTCGATTTCGATATTGGATTCACCGTAAAAAGTAAAATTGCCTTCTTCGAGATGCAGTGTTAGATTAATGTTATAATGAATTGGTACCGTGTTGTTGGGTAAAAAACGATCGATAATTTCTACATTATTATCGATGCAAGACACTGTTCTTGTGACCAATATTACACCAATATTTAATAACAACTTTGGAAATCTCATATTGAAACCCTTTTTTTAAGTATCTGCGGTTATCCATTATAGAAAAAATAAAAGAATAAGAGTTATTGAAATGTTATATGAATTTTTACATATATACAAAAATAATTAGAAAAATTAATTTTTCTACTTTTTTTTATTACAAAAATCATTTGTATTTATAATAATATCTATCGAGTATACTTTGATGATATTTGTAATTAATTTATCATTTTTTCCGTATAATTTTTATCTAAAACGAAACCAAATAAAAACTAAAAAAATCTATTAAAAATTATATATAAAAATTAAATCTATTTAATATTACTAAAATTTTTTTAATAAATTTTACATATTTAAGTAGTGTATTTACGTCTGTTTGTAAATAATATTTGTCATAAAGCTATCAATACATAATGTTGGTATGTAATAATATTTGATTTCTTCCGTTGTCGGTTAGAGCAATTGTTTAAAGAAAGAAAATAAGTTTAAATCTATTTGTCGATTCGGTTATTTGTCCTGTTTGATATATTTATTTAAAAACATTATAAACGTGGAAATGGCATTGTAAGAGTCAAACGAAAAGAAAATTAACAAC